ACGTTCACGCTCACAATCGCATTCATCGAAGTCGAGATCGAAACCCCAACCAAGACGAAGTTCAAGCAAGCGCTCTACGCGTTCTGGGCATCCGCATAGGAGTTCGAGAGATTATCCGCATCGTTCGCACGCTCCGAGACGTGTTTACTAGGTGGTCGGCGTTTCTGGGTTTGGGGATGAGTGGGGGATGATGAATGATGGGACGGAGGGGCGGATATGGTGTGAGAGTGAGTATGTGCTGTACTTTGGTTAATTAAAAGTGGGAATCTGGGTGATAGACATGAGCGCAGTACGAAGAGATGTCATGGGCGAGCTGTTATGACAGGCCAACGCAGATGCGAAAAGGGAACAACCTGAAAAGCAAGGATAATATCAACGTATGGGGGAGTCTGGTCGTGATACATTCCCACTTATCGCGAGAACGCGGGTCTTGGGCGTTCAGTGGACCCGTGTCATGTTTGCGCATCCATAAACTACCATCAAACATGTGTAGTGCACCTTCCCGTTTACCTTTACCCTCGCAGTTGCTTCCCACCTGGGCATCACTCACCACTTACCACGCGCTAGCGCGGATCCCGAGCACCAGCCGACTACAAACTGGCCTTGTCATCGACGTTGACTTCCACAACTCTTTACACCATACGATGGCGCGCCCCAACATCGAGAAGCGCGGTCGGAAGACTCCCACATCCAAGACGACAAGTAGAGTCGCAAAGCCCAGTATTTCTCGCGTCACCAGAAGTGAGACATTACGTCGGGCAGCCATGTAAGTATTTTCAAAGCCTTCTGACATTTGACATCAGCTGATGAGATGGTTTCTAGGGCTCTCCATAACAGCAACTCACCTCTCCTTCGCCTACCAGCAGAGATCCGGAACCAGATCTACGACTACGTTATAGGAGGCCAGAGCTACATGATTCACGAGACATCTGTGGAAAAACCATCCTACTATCTCATCCGAAAACTTGGCATGGGTCTTCATTGGCGTGAGCAGACAGCTCTCTCCCGAACCTGCCGCCAATTCCGCCATGACACAAGTTTACTTTTCTTCCAGAACAACATCTTCAGCCCCAACCATATCGAAAGTCCCTCAGCCATGAACAGATGGATGCATATATTGCAGCCGCATCATGCAAATGCCATACAGACCATAATGTGGGGATTTTGGGGACTACGCAGCGACCTCGAGGATCTGAAGGTTCTCTTAGCTGAGTGGGTGAGAATCAAGGGGATTGGGCTATATTGCTACAGCATTTCAAGTGGGACAGTACCAACCCAAGAAGCCCTGAAGATTGCAGGCTTCGAGCCTGATGGAACGGTTGAAGCTGTGAAGGTTGGGCTCAGCATAGTGTGGTATGAGCGATCTTAACCAGCTCATCAGTAAGTGACTGTTGCGCCATTTTTTTTCGCTATATCGGCTGACCTGAATGTTCAGACATGTCGCCTCACCATGTCACGCTTGCTAAGCTCGGTCAAGGACATCGGCATGTCCTATCGGTGGGGGTTGAATTCTACCCGGTGCCTTACCACCAGCGACGGACTCAAAGGCTTTAGTACCTTCTCAGCTAAAGCGATCAATACTCCCAGTGGTTGGGTTACCTTGGAGAATCTGCTTGACTTTCTTCAGCTCTCATTTCTTTCTGCACAGCAGCAAAAGTCTTCAAATGATTACTATACCGATAGCACATACGATATGAAAGGCATTGAAGTGCTTTCAATAACACTGATTCACATAATGCTTCCTTGTGTGATCTTTCCATATCTTCCACACAATCCGTCAACTTATCGTCTACCCCGATGGCTCAATAGTAGTTATCCACAATGTCATAACCACGAGAAGATTGATCATCAACCCTTCGAAAGCCTCGAAGTGGCCCTTTGCTCTGCACTGACTTCGCTTCAAGCCACTTCTGCAGTATCACCAGCAGCCTCTCTTTATAGGCTGCCTCAAGTCGGTCAAATGTCTGCCATTTATGCTCCCGCAGTAGTTCCAGGTGAAGCAAGTCTGACCTTAATCGCATGTCAGTAAGAATACGTTACTGGAATCTTTCCGTTTGCTATAGCCCACTCACCAGTATATCCCAACCTCTACGTTCTTCCCCTGTATAGCGCTGCCCATCTCCTCAAAGCACTCTCGCAAAGGTATATTGGCGTCGATACCACTCCATTCCCACTCTTTCATAGCTTTCATCTCCTCGGCCGTTGGTAGCGTTTTGGAGAAGACTAAGTGATCGCGTGGTAGACACTCTAGCACAAGCAAGCCCAGGTCGAGATGGGTAAGCGCCGGGAATTTCGCTAGAAGGTTCGACGCAAACCATAATCTAGACTGCTCCACCAGACCGTTTCTTTCGTCGAATAAACGGATAGAGTACAAAGGCAGCGAAAGCTTCCGTATAAGACAAAGGTTATGCGCCCCGATCTTCAGCCAAAACGTCGTGAGGAGACTCTGGTAGCCGTATTTCCCGTGTGCGGGTATGAGATTGAAGCAGTAGAAGCCGAAGAAGTAAGTGCGCACCTCTTGGGAGATTTGGCGGCTTGTCAATGTGAGACTCCAGAGGATGGGCCGCGCGGATGATTCGAGGGCTTGGAAGGTGCGGCGGTAGCAAAGGCGGACACCCACCGAGAGTGAATCAGGGTCGCGTTTGTTGAAGAGGTATCGGTAGACTTGCTGTCGGACTTCTAGGGGAAGCTTTTCGAGAGAAGATTGTGCGGGTTGAGTTGGAGGGGGTGAGACAGTAGGGTTGAGTTTTATCGCAGATAGGGAAGTCGTGATGCAGTCTAACGTTGCGGATGAGGAAGACATGACTGGAAAATGTTGCGCGATGGCGCTGCAGTATCTTGGAGATGAATGCAGAGCGAGTGGAGGGACCAAGAAGATAGAGTTATGTTCAACTGCGTGTATTGCTGATGGGAGACTGCACCCGGGTAGAAAAGTAGGCTAGCAGACTGTGCAAAGCCCAAACCGCAGCACTCCGTGGCCCACCTGGGTAGATTCGCCACATGTACTCGCAGAGAAATGACACTCCCATTCACTCGACCTGTCAGCGCTTCATAGCAGATATTCTAGCTCATCGCTCTCTTCACCCACTTGATAAGTCGCTACAGTCTTGCTGGCTTATCGAATGCAAACAGCGACCTCCCCTTCTTTTCACCATCTTGCCAAACCCATCCGCTTTTGCCCACGATCTCGACCGCGCCACTGGCCATCTGTCGCAACGTGCTTTCATCTCCATGATTCGAGAGGAAACGTTTGCTGCTGCTCTTTAAGCGACCAATAATGTGACCTCGAAGCGGGCTGCCGTCTCGGTTGAACTCTACGGTGTAAGTTTCGACAACAGCCTCGCCCTCTGGGTCGAAAACGAGCTCAGGCGCGGGCACATCAGTAATCTGCGGCGGTAGAGGGTTCTCTGTCGAATAATTTCCTTCTCTTCTAGGCTCTTTCGACAATATCACGACGTACTGATAGCTCAGAACGCCGCCATTGCAGAGCACAAGTCCTTTCTGGCCTTTGCCGTCTCTCAGCTGCCGCGTCATTTCAGTGAGCGCATGCATCGAGTAGTTGTTTCCAGCTCCGCCGAACGATGTCAGACCACCAAGTATGGTCAATGGCTTTTGACGACCAACCACAGGTATCCCTAGATGCTGCGCCGCAATCTTAGGCACAATAGGGAAGCAGGAGTAGATATCGACGATATCCATCTCTTCCCTGGTAGCATCAGAAACCTTCAAACTCGCATCGATAGAGCGTGATATACTGGGCGATGTGTAGAAGTTTGGTCGTTTCCAGAATTCATCGGCATCCTTCGTCCCTGCGCCACCAAGCGGATAAACCCATTTAGACTCGGGAACACCTAACCTTTTGGCGAAGGAAGTCGATGTAAGGATGACTGCAGAGGCAAGATTAACCGTGTTGAAGGCGTTCATAAGCAGGGGATCTGTGCGCGTGATGTAAGCGTCCGTTCCTAATGCGGAAAGAGGTGAGACCCACAAGGATAGCATATCATCCTGTTCTTCTTCCCAATAGTCTTGATGTCTTCCTCACTACTTGAAGTTCCTTGACTCCATGCGTACTCATTATTCTTTGCGACGTCTGCAAATTCAGCATACAGCTTTGCGCTCTCTTCGTGGTTTGCCTTCAGCGTCTGTCCGCGATGCGCACGGAACGCGTTTTCGTAAAGTGGGTAGACATGTATTGGTGCACCAATCTTGTGAATAGCACCGAGGTCTTTGCCAGAGTCAGTAGAAGAAAGGGTCTGCCAGAGAGAGGAAACCGCACTATTTCCTAGGTCGCGACCTGTTGGTGTGAAGACCGAATCTACGGCTTCGGACGGAGCTGTCCAGCCCGGCGGAGGAAGCTTCTTTGCAGCTGCGCATGCAGATACTGGTACACTTAGATGAGTGGAGATGGCGGAAAGGCATGCAGTACGTACACGAAGCTAATGCTTCACCTCCAGTTACAACCGCGACTTTGCATTCGCCTTTTGCAATCCTCTTAGCGGCCTCATCGAAGAGCTTTCCTGGTTTATCGCCTCCATGTTCGGAATATCTCTTCCATTTCAGACTCTGATCAACGCCCAGTTTCTCTGCCAAAAGCCCGGGTAGATCTGGATACGGCCAAGTCCACGTCTTGACGACATCGATGCTGTCGATTGCTAACTGCAAATCGGTCTTCGAAAGAGATGCAGTGTCGCTAATGGCCTTTTGGATGGCTTCTAGCATCAATGTTGCGGGCTCCTTCGCATCCGCGATGGCGGTGGAGCGGTTCTTGATGTCGCCTACGCCGATGATCACGGGGGTATTGGTGGACGTCATGTCGTGTTATAGGATTAACGGAAGAAGAGCGCAGTCTGACCTCTTGGTCGCGAGATGCAGTTCTTTTTTATGTCACGTATCCCGTGATTGAAGATATGGCTTCCATTGCATGCCGGAGAGTCATGGTTGACGTGAGGAGTCCGATTTGCCGAGGTACAAATGACGCGAGCCACTGCCGCACGCGCTGCTCATGTCCTCGACGCGTCAGTTCCGGCCATCGGGACGGATGCATCTTCTGCAACAGTCCTCCGGTCTCTCCATGCAGCGTATAGCAACACTACAAAAGCCTGTCCCTCCGGATTGATACCGTTGAGCGGCGTCCGCTGAGCTTCCGTCAAGGAGTTGACGACAGGCGCCACAATACCAGAATCCTCATCTACATGGCGACTGACAGACTCCAGCTTACGCTTCGCCCATCCTACGTACCGTTCGCCGAATGTGCCAGGTTCGAGGATTGACATTCTGAAGACCGTAGCTGCCATCAATGCTGTCCCAGCAACCTCTGCAAACCATGTCTCGTCATCGAGATAGTTGCGCAACAGGCCCGACGCATCAGTATCGCCCTCTATCGCGCCGTCAAGAATGCCTTTGGTCATATCTAGTAGCATCTTCTGCTCATCAGCGGTTTCCGATTCGTATTGAGATTTGCGCAATGTTGCTAGCACCCTAGTCATCCCAGCTGCAGCCCAGGCATTGCTCGTACACCATGCGCCGTCATCGCTCTTTACGCTGTGTGTGCCCTCGGCATTGGCGATGTGTTGCCAATACCCCCTCGACGTGCCCAGCACCTCGCAGTATAGCTGGCACTGCCGTACACTCTCTTTCACCATGCCTATGTCCGAGGTGAAGACACCGTGGTATGCAAGAGCAGGCGGTACCATGTAGACGAAGTCTGCCCACAAAGAAGGGCACGCATCGCGATGCGATATCGCGCCATTGCTGTATCTGGGCGTGGTGGAGAGCAGATCGTGCAGCTGGCGATTTACCGCGGAGAGGTAAGGATTGTCAGACGCCTGGAAAGTTGTCGATTTGTAGAGCAACAAGGCCGGAATGCAGAGAGATGTCGGATCGGACGACGAACCTAGTCACTGCCTTTAGCATGCGTTGGACGTATTCTGAGAGAAGAGAGCTTACCGTTACCTTCGCACAGTCTCGCGCTATTCGTCTGTATGAATGGTCTCACATATTGCAACGCTTCTACATCCTCTACCGGCAACTCTGGCATCTTGCCCCCTGGGAATGGGTCATGGAAGATGCTGTGGTGAGGATCTCTGTACTCGAGTAGCGCTTCAAATACAGTGCCGTACTCCCAGCTATGTGACGCAGATTCCTGCGCTTTGGAGAGAACTTTGTCGATCACAACCTGCGGAATCATATCGCGAACTTCCCGATTGATGCTTTATGTTGGTTCCTGGGGTCGAGGGGGTTTGTAGCTTCGAAGCGCGTGCCTACACGTCTGCTGTATGACGTTCGCGACGCGCGCATGTGGTGTCATCTCCGCGCCTTCGCTTCCTGCCGCGGGCAGGTGCAGAAAGCTTGGTGAGGGGTTATTGTTCCTTCCAAGCACCCTCGAAGCTTGACCCAACCAACTCGACAGGCCCACGAGAACGACTCAACTTACGTTCTGAGATATGATTTACTGTAGAGGATATGGGGCTGATGTAAGCTTACATTACCAAGTATAGGACTCGTCCCTGCGCGATTCCATGGGTTACGTATGCTCAAAGACGAGATGAGTGTGCTCCAAGAGGACATGTCGTATGTTGCTACATGCCTTCAAAAGGGCATGCAGGTGGACTGAATGGTATCAGGAGACCCACATGTTGGTGTGCGCAGGATTGCAGGACCAGCCGACACGTGTCGACCGGGGCGGACGCCCGCGCAGTGTTACCGCACTGACATTTACCGAAGCTGACAGCCAGCTTTTTCTTGAAGGTCGGCAAGTAAGTAAGTACTAGGATGAGATGCGAAAGGGTTCCTTCACTCATAAATTCGAGTACATGCTAAAGCTGCTAGATTGATGTCTGGTACGACAGTGGGTCGCGCCATCATGGCCCTACGGATGATGTACCCACAAGAGACCCGCAGTGAATATCCTCCAAGCGACGTCCAAGCTTCTGAGATCCTGCCTGGGTGAAGGTATTACGTTTGAAAACCTCAATGGTACGAATGCTGAAGATAACAGTAGCACATGATGATAACAAGGGAGGCCTAATAGTATTGCGGTTGAATGTCAAGATTTTCTAAGCGAATAGGTACCAACATGTCGAGCTACTGCGTCTATTCCTATACGGCGCATACAGTCTTGGTTGGTTTCATCGGAGACTTGTCCGGTGGGACCAAATAACAGCGCCGCCGGATGAAGCACGAACCGCCATCCCCGCGATCTCCAGGTTTTGCAATTAACTGTCAGTCAGTGCACTCTCCATGCGCCCCATGATCAGCTCCATTTCTACCCAGACCCAGCTCGCAAACCAGCGGCGGGTACCTCGAGCGCTAAGGCTTCTAAGCATATCTCCCAAAGCTTGTCCGGGCTCTGGACACGCCCAGTTTGAGCCTCATGCACACAATATGCACGGTTTACGTCGGCTCAGTTCTTATCACCTCACTCCGCACGTAGGGCGCGTCTTAAGTCCCCAACAGATGAACAGTGCCCGTGGCGCAAGGAAGTAAAACCGAAGGAATGCGCGCCGCTCAGAGGGGACGTCATCATACGAGTAAAGTAACGGGCTGCAACCATCACAGCGCTCGAGGTATTTTTCCCCGCATTTCCTACCGGTAGTTTGCACTAGCCAACGATAATTGGTTCCCAGAACCCGTTCTGACAAGGGTCTGGGCTACTATCGTCCCATACGTTCGATAAGGACTTGGCCACCGAAGCCGTACCATGTTTGGGTAGGTCCGAACCGCGAACGTGGAATAATCCTCCTCTCGCGCCGGCCCATACACCACATTTGTTGCAAAATCTGCTATCACGGCCGGCGCATTCTTCAGCCGCCTTTGGCATCCCATCTATATAACCACTAGGCATCCCCCTAAGGCGAAAGCAAGATTGGTACCGCCGACCAAGCCTTCCTTCTGTCTCGTGTTAACCATGCCGAACCACCACATGGCCGACGAGAAGCCTGAGGCTGTGCCGTATGGCTACGACGAGAGTCAAGTTGGCTTTGAGGAGCCGTTTGTTCATGGCGCCGCTACTGTTGGTGGTGAGACTGGACGAGGTGGAGACACACATCGTGGACTGAAGAGTCGACACATCCAGTTTCTGTAAGTCCGCATTCTCTTGTGTCGCTGAACCAATCGCTAACACCTTGCCAGTGCGCTTGGTGGTGCTATCGGAACAGGTCTCTTCATCGGATCTGGATCTATCCTAGCCCTCGTCGGTCCTGCTCCGTTGTTCATGGCCTACCTCAGTATGATGCTTGTCGTTTACAACGTTATGAACAACTTGGCTGAAATCGTCACCTACCTTCCCATGCGCGGTATCACTATCCCTTACTTCATCAAGCGATTCGTAGACCCGAGCCTCGCATTCGCCGCTGGTTGGAACTACTGGTACGCCTACGCAATTTTAGTGGCCGCTGAAGCTACGGCTGGAGCAATCCTTGTCGAGTACTGGGAGACGCCTGTCCACAATGCTGTCTGGATTACCATCTTTCTGGTCGTGGTCTTGTTCCTTAACATCGTTGCAGTCGAGGTATTTGGAGAAGCCGAGTTCTGGTTTGCTTCTATCAAGTTCATCACCATCATTGGTCTTGTTATTCTCGGCTTTGTCATCATGTTAGGTGGGAGCCCTAACGATCAAGGGAGGTTGGGATTCAGATACTGGAACAACCCAGGCGCATTCAAGCCGTATATCGTGGAAGGGAACTCTGGGCGATTTCTGGCCTACTGGACTGCGTTCGTCCGTGCCGGATTTGCTTTCATCACTTCGCCTGAATTGATTGCGCTCGCTGCCGGAGAGACTATTGCCCCACGCCGAAACATCCCCAAGGCTGCTGGCCGATTCGTTTACCGTCTCGCCATCTTTTATGGTCTGGGAAGCTTTATCATCGGTGTCATTGTCCCATCAGACGATGATCGCCTCCTCAGCAAGAGCTCCAACGCTTCCGCTTCTCCCTTCGTTATTGGTATCCAGCGTGCGGGAATCGTAGGTCTAAACCACGTCGTCAATGCGGCCGTCTTGACATCAGCGTGGTCTGCCGGAAACGCTTTCTTGTTCTCTGGATCCCGCGTCTTGTATGGTATGGCTCTCAACGGAGAAGCGCCTAAGATCTTCGGCAGGACCAGCAAGAAAGGTGTACCATATGTGGCTGTTCTTGCTACATGGGCAATTGGACTCCTCGCTTACCTGAATGTCTCCAGCACTGGCGCCCAGGTCTTCTTGTGGTTCTCCAACATCTCCACCATATCTGGATTTATTGCCTGGATTGTCGTCATGATCACATACATCCGCTTCCGCAAAGCCATGATCTTCCACAATTTGCTCGAGTCTCTTCCCTACCGCACACCGTTCCAGCCATACCTCACATATTTTGTCCTCAGCGTAGTGTCGCTCCTGACTCTGACCAACGGTTTCCAAGTATTTGTGCCAGCGAACTGGTCTGTGTCCGACTTCCTTGCCGCTTATATCACCATTCCAATCTTCATCGTACTTTACGCTGGCCACAAGATCTACTTCAGGACACCGTTTGCCATCAAGGTCGAGCACATCGATGTCATAACGGGTGTGCGTGAGATGAACGAGCTGTGTAAGGACGATATTACTGGTGCGCCTGTGCCAAAGAACGTTTGGCAGAAGATCTGGTACTGGATTGCCTAAAGTGGCACCAAAGAACGGTTTCGAATGTTCTTTCTATTTGCGTGTGCTTTCATCTTTTTAGCCGTATACCATTGCTAGATCAACAAGCTGATTCGGCACTGTCACTCCTCCCCACAAGCATTGCACTTCTAAGGCGTCATGAATCAGAGTTTCTTGATTGTGAAGACTCTCGCCCTCTGTTATGCTCTTACTGATTGGTTGAGACATGCGGCTCAACCATCGGATCAGCCTTACCTGGGTATCGTGCGCCTAGAGCTGTGTACGCCTGGCATCGGGGAAGATAAGCCCATGCGTCAACACTGCACCTAGCCACTGAGATACCATTCAATAATGGTCTCGCATATGACACCATGGGACCGGAGCAAGGCTATGACATAGAAGTCAAATGAGCAGCATTTCAAAATGACCATAAACCAAGATGACGTCACAGTTGAAGCGGTGAGGATGCAGGCTTCTTTTACACGTAGCCCTACGACGCTTTTCATGCGTTCCAAATCGTGGCGCGCGCGCCAATTAAGCTCAACAGCTCCCGTACCACACCGTTGCGCACATCGTAGGGGGAGTTCAGGGGTAGGATATAATCAGGATACCCAAATCTTCTGAAATAAGTTTTACGCACGATAGATCCTTATTTTTTATTTACAACTAAAAGCTATTAGAGATGCAATTACTAACAAACAGCTATTAGAAGTGTGATTAATGTTAGATTTCGAGCCCGTTAAGGCATAGAGGGATATCCTCTATTCTAACATAGAAAGGCAGCAATAGCAACAACAGCAGCGTTAAGAACATTAACAACACTACTTCTAATTATTTTTAAATAAGATATAAGACTCGCTGCTCTCTTTCTGTCCACCAACTGTTAGTCCCCCAGTTATCCAATTTTGCGAATCCTATACGTTCGCAGACAGTACAGTCGTCGTTAATCCACCTAGCAACAAGGCACTCCTCTGGGCCCGATTTTCTGTAGTTTGATGCCCAGCAGTCCTCATACAATGCACGGGCTTCAAATTCATCAAAGGGCTTTGGATACAACTTGCGGGCATCTTCGTCTTCCTCGAACCACCCGGATTCGTCAGCTAGATGTATCAGAAATGTTCCTCGATCTTGCAGTTCCTCCATCTCAACACCAAAAGCCACTAAAACCCGGTCAGGAGATCCAAGAGACACGCTCTCTATCACAGGTAAAGGAAGCTCGTAATGATTCGTTGTAGCGTGCGGATGCGCCATTTTCGATGGTCCAGTTCTGTACTCGCTGGTGAAGAACTGTGATGTCGGCAGGCAAGTTGCTGAGAATTTTAACATGCACGGTGTTGCCGTGCCTTTTGGCAGGCAATAGCCAACGAGGTCCTCGTCAAATGACACGATCTCAACGTCTTTGACATATAGACATCTGGAACTATGGTTGCAGCCAAACGGCGGTAGCCAGCTCTTGCTACCTGTCCATCCGGCCCAAGACCAGCTGGGCAGCGATGAGATCCCTACCCCATCCATGGATGTGCATGTGTAGCGTCTAGCTGAGAGACCTTGAGACACCCACGACATTGCCAGGA